AGAAGAAAATATAACTAAAGCTGTTACAATATCATGAAAAAATGTCATGTTTTGTTGACTCAGGTACTCAGAAAAGTAAACAAAAAGCTATGCAACTTTTCAGAAATTCAAGTCAACATCACAAACCATACCATTTGCCTAAGCCAGAATTAGTGTGCAAGTTCAGTTCTGCCCTGACTCAGTCACAGCCCCCTTTTTCTTAAAAGCTACTGGAGGACACTTGGGAGAAATCAGCATAATATGCTACTATTTCTTACAAAACAATTTTTAAAATTTGAATATATGAAAATCTTAGAAAACTCTTCTAATGTATTTATTTTCAATTGTACAGTGCTTTTTTTTTTTTGGTCAGTAAGAAGAATAGACATTCTTTTTTCTTACTCTTTCTCCTGAACGTGAAGATGAGTCACCATTTGTGGCATATCTGGAAGGCACAGTCCCAGGAGCTACCTCTGTCTGGTTGGTGGACTGAGGCCTGTGGAAGTCTCAACCTTCTTTCTTTTCCAAGGGACCATCTTCTCTGATTTTCATGCTTTCCCCAGTTACAGTAGGCTTAACCCACAGAACAGCAAATGGGGAACTGGTCTCTGCTTTGCTCAGAGAGAACCATCACTACGTTAGTGATGCATAGCTCATAATATGCTTACTTGATTTTTTTTTAAATGATGATACCTCACTAAATTGACAGTTTGGATCTTGGACATCTGTTCCCCTTTTGCTTAGATTTAGTCCCCATAAAATGTCTCAAAACATTTTGAGTTTGTTGCTTAGGTAAACCTCTAAGAGTAAAAGGTGCTTCTTGCTGAGAAGGATTTTTAGTTTTCAAATACTCCCTGCCCACTGACTGCCCAGCTGTGAGATTGTTTGCTTTGCCTGTATCACTGGCCAGTAAAGCCCCTAATCATTCCCTCTGCTCTGTTAGGCAACTAAATGCCAGATTGGAACAGTGTTAACGTTATGCTTAAACTAAATTCATGTTTTAAGTTTAATAGACCATTTTAGAAAACATGTCACTATTTACATACAGATTTCCCCCTTTCAAGGCTAACTAAGGATAGAATATATGACTGCCATTCTATTTTGTTCACCATATGTATTTTCTCTATCTTTTATTCTGGTGTCCGGAAACAATTTTTTTTTTCATGTTTCTAAGTTTAATTTCTTAAACTTCAAAGATGTTAACTCTTCTCTCTTTTTTTACTCTCAGGAAAATGCTTTGGTTCCGAAGACTATCTTGAGCTGGTTAACAGATTTCCTCAGCAGGCCTGGGAAGAAGCTCGACAGTTTTTCTTGAAAAAAGAGAAAAAATAAATGTTTTGGTTGGTTCTGTATTTGAGTACCCTTGTTATATTATTGTAATATTTTAAATTGTTCAAACAAATGTTCTAACTGTTCCTTAAGAAACTCATTTCCACATGTTTATACACTCCCTCTGCACTGTAGATACGGTACATACTTTGCACTATTTATAATACTGTAGATACTTTAATGTTCTACTTTCTAATTCTGCAAGTTGAGTTTATTTCCTTAATGCACAGTATTTTGGAGTTTGGTAACTTCCATCCTACAATTATATATAATTTGCATTTGTAATATGGGTGAAATTAGACATAAAATTAGCAAGTCTGTTTTGTTCTTGTAATAAAATAACTTATTCTATTACAATGTTGACTTTTCATGTTAAGGCAATATAAATTTGAAAGAAAAATGTTAACTCCAACTCCTGAAATATCTTAATTAAAGACTTAATTAAAGTTTACCTGCTTTAAATTTTCCTTTATAAGGTTTGGAGTAAAGATCTTTACAACAGTTTTCCATTCTAATTTCATAATATGTTTTGGGAGCTATTTGAGATTAATTTAGAGCATTGTATTCAATGGCCTGCCTAAACTTTTCTAGCAGATAATACTGAGAACCTCTGTTAGCAATGCTGAACTGAAATTATTCTCCAGAATAAATGTTAGGGATCCAGAAAGACCAGTCACAGGGAATCACCCTCGAATATTTTCTCAAATAATTGTGAAATGAAGCAACACTGCAGTAAAAATAAAACATAAGGTCACAATGGCTCTGAACAAAAGTTTCAAACTACTGAGCACCGCTCCCAGTAGAGCACGCGAAGTTTCTGCATGGGAAGTGTTGAGCTTTTCATCTCTTCTTCTCATCGTTTCTCCCCCTCAGCTGATGGTCAGTGCTAAGCCGTTCACTGAGTGACATCAGTAATAATTTCTGTAGATAAGGATCAAACATTAGCAAGAAAAAAAAATCTGGTTGGAAAAATTTGATCTGAAAATGTATCAGACTCAATGACTATCTGGGGAAAGCTGCAATATGTTTTTTAAAAGCAAACTTACCTGCCTCGTGTTCAGGACACTTCTTTTTGCAGCCTCACAAAGCTGCCGAGTTAGGTGTATGCTGTTTTTACTTCTTTGCAAGTCGAGAGAGAAGAAAGAGGTCCGATTTCAAGAAAAAGGAAAGCGACCTCCTTCCGGCGCGCTCGGCGCTGCCGCCGCCGCCGCGGGACCCCGGCGTCTTCCGGGCTCAGCCCGGCCGGGCCCCCGCCCT